AAACTTAAAAAAAAAAAAAAAAAAAGAGGCTGGGGGATGTACCATGACACAAAGGCCCTGGGTTCAAGTCCCAGTACTGCCCTTCAACCAAAAGCAAAATAGAAAAAAGTAAAGGTGGTAGAGGTATTAACCGGAAACAGTGCCAGAGCACAAGGAGGGACGCTTCGTTGTGGCAGGGAGCCTCGGTTAGGGCGCTGGGCCCGGGCTTGTGTTTTGTCTTGGTGCTGTTTGAGACAGGGTCTCACTACACAGCCCACGCTGGCCCCATGCGGGTTACTGGGCATCTGGCCTTGTGCTGTCAGACCCCAAAAGGGGTGAGGTTTCTATGCAGTGAGAGGCAGAGGCGGCCTGGAGTGGGGTGTGGGGGACTCAGAGGGGGGCGCCACCACGGGAGGAAGGTGAGAGCCGACGGCACGGAAAGCCAAGGTGGGGTGAACCGCGGCCACGTGGGGGTGGGGGAGCAGTTTGGTTCAAACTGCCCAAGCCTGGGCGGAGAAAAGGGCACCCAGAGATTTGGGAGAGTTGGGGGGCGCAGTGGCACTGATGGGAGACTGATCATATACAGAGGGGCGGTGATGAATTAAGGAACTAAAGTGCGGGCACCAGGCCTTCTACCCTTGAAGAAGGGAGTTACAAATATGGAAAGGGGAAAAGCTAGAACAAAATCTGTTGGTCGTTTTCAATATATTTAGATACTTCACATCAGAGGTGAGGAGCTAGCTGGAGTTGAAAACAGCACCAATAATGAATTATAGGGATGGAGTTTAAGAAACGAGGAGAAAAAAAACCAGAAAGCAGAAACAAGCTGTCCTGGAGAGAGGGCAGGGGGTCTGGAAAAAGATGGACACCCCTGAGCCTTTGTCCCTGGTGACTTTCATTAGAGGTAGGGACCTTTCCTTCCAGGTGCATACTGGGAACTTGTCTCAATCTGATAGGTTCGCAGGGCTGTCTGTGGATGGGTCCCAGGCCTCCAGACTCTAACTCAGGCACTTTTGTCTATGTGGACCTTCCTTTTTGTGGGCTTTGTTTGACTTTCTCCTCCCCTTTTGTCCTTGTTAGGGTTTTACCTCTAGGATTTCTAGGCTGAGTAGGAGGACACATAGAAAAGGCAGCTTAGAGTTACTGATTAAGTAAAGAGAGGCACGGGTATCCAGTGAAGTAAATACAGTGACCCCAGAGTCAGGCAGCCACGCCGTATGTCCTTTGCATTTGACTGAGGTGGGGGTTATCCTGGTGTTGGTCTCCTGGCTTGCTTCATTCTCTGCCTATCAGCTTTTCCTCTGGTTATCTCGCCATTAGAGAGCATTCCTTCCTCGCTAGTAAATCCTTAATGCTATTCGTCTATCTGGTGCCTTTCTGTGTGTGTCTGTTTTCTCTCTCTCTCTCTCTCCCTCTCTCCCTCCCCTCCCTTTTTCCTTTTAATTACTTTTAAAGGAATTCCTCAGTCAAGTTTTATCTTCTTTAGCCAGGATTAGCTTTAGCCATTGTTAGTAAGATTTTCTACTAATTTCTTCGATAAAGTCTAAGGAGGGCCTTCATTTTTTCCCTCCCTCAGACCTTTCTCCCTACAAATACAAATAAATACAGAAGTAAATTTGTACCTAATCAGTTCTCCAGGTCCACTGGTTCTGCATCTTAACCAACTGCCAATTAGAAATGTTTGGAGAAAGATATTATGGCTGGGCACGGTGATGCACTTTTGTAATCCCAGCACTCAGGAGGCCGAGGCAAGAGAGCAAGAGCTTGAGGCTGGCTTGGGCTACATAGTAAGTTCAAGGCCACCTTGGATTACATAATGAGACCTTACCTCAAAAAAGAACATTCTCGGGGCAGGGGATTTAGCTCAGTGGTGCCTCCACCTGCCTTGCAAGCACAAGGACATGAGTTCGATCCCCCGGTACAAAAAAAAAAAAAAAAAAAAAAAAACCCAAAAAAAAAAAAAAAAAAATACAATCCAAAATCAAAACAAAAAACATTCTCAGCCAGACATGGTAGCACGTGCCTATAATCACAGCTCTTGGGAGGCAGAGACCAGAGGATTGCCACGTGAGGTCAGTCTGAACTACGTGGTGAGACTCTGTCTCAAAAAATATAAATGAAACCCAGCAAAAATTAAATTATGTTTGTCCTGAACATATACAGGCTTTTTGCGTTTATTCTCTAAACAGTACAGTAAAACAACTATCTGCAGGGCATTGACATTGTATTGGATAATAAATAATTCAGAGTAATTTAGGTTTATGCAAATACTATACTGTGTAGATAAAGGATTCCGGCATTCACAAATTATGGTATTGGGGTGGTCCTGGACTCCTTGTGTACAGAGGAATGACTACAAGATCTTTCATGATACGTCAGCTGGACTTGACTAAGAAATTCCCAAGGGTTATTAAAGCACAAGTCTGGGTATTTCTGGATGGGTCATGGGAGAGTGATCTCAGGGATTAAATATGGCCCCTGGCCCCTTTCTCCCTGGTGGCTGCTTGCATGAGTAGTTCAGGCTGGCCTCTAACTCATGGCAATCCTCCTGCCTCAGCCCCCCAAGTGCTGGGATTATAGGCGTGTGTGCAACACATGGCCATGTCCTCCTTTAAATTGTGGGTATTGGCTATTGTGTCCCAGGGACAGAAAAGCTGCTTAATACAGACTACATTACCTATACATGTGAGCATTCATGTATTTTCCATTTCTGTCCACTGGGAGGGTCCAAGAACAGCAGCATCCTAATAGCAGTGAGTACTCCTACTGCTTAGATATTGGTTTGTAAGTACCACTCTTATTGGAAACGGCTGATTGAAAGGGGTCTCGAGCCCCCTTTGGGTGCCCCTTACCCAATTATGCCACCCACGCACCGAGAGGTCCGGCAGGAGATCTTTATTGTAGGGAGGTGAGCAGGAGGCGGAGGGCAGAGAGCGAGAGAGCGAGAAGAGGAAGTACTGGGATACTTATAGGATGGGCAACGGAAGATCCTTCCTTGGGAGGAGCGGTCTTTGTTATCCTATCGCAAGCCAGGTTGTCTTTTGAATTTCGCGCCTTGGAGAGGCTCTAGTTTAGCGCTTTACAATTTCGGCGGGAGAAAGGACTCAGAGTCGGGAAAGAACCCGGAAGTAAGATATAAAATGGCTGGGGGGGGTTATATTTTAACATGTGCGATCTCCTAACACTGATTGCAATGAATAAAATAGGGATCAACGAGTCATTATGGATACTAATGAATAGGTAAAATGAATAGATTGGTTTATGTGATATGGAATATTTTCATAGTTTCAAAGTACTGTACCACAAAATACCTATTTTTTAATGGAAAAAGTGTAACTTTACAGTAGAAAGGCCTATCAAACACCACTTGATCCACTGATACCAGTAAAAGTAAAACTGAAATCATGTACACTCTGATGCAATCAACAAAAGAAAGAAAGTGGCACTTCTGTGTTTTCCTTTCAAAGTGAATAACCTTCATTTAATTTGGGGGAAACACCAGACTTAAATTCAGGGGCTTACTTCAAATGAGTTGGATGGTAATTTTAAAAAAGTATCAGAATTACAAAAGTCAAAGCAAACTGAGGAAACATTCTAGGAGACACAATAACTGAATGCAATGCATAATTATGGCCTGGATTGAATGACCGACTCAATCCTGGCCTGGGCTGATTTATTTGTTATAAAAAGGATATTATTGGACAAGAAGTGAAAGTCGGAATTGTATCTGAGGATTGACGTGATAACAGCAAAGCAATGTTAAATTCACGATGTTAAGGGTTACTCTGTGGTTTTGGAGGATGATATCCTTGTTAATGTGAAATATATAATAAAGTAACTGGGGTGCTGGGCATCCATTAATAAGTTGACGATTTACCCCGACATTTTTTTATTTTTGAGACATTGTCTTGCCATGTAGTTCAGGCTAAACTTGAACTCACAGCAATCCTTCTGCCTTAGTCTCCTGAGTACTGGGATTATAGACATGCGCTACCACAACTGGCTTGAAATGGTTTTTCAAAAAGTTCTTGAAGTTTTATATTGAGAGCATTTCAAATTGCCTTTTAAACTGGGTGTGGGGGTGCACGTCTGTAATCCCAGCGCTCAGGAGGCTGAGGCAGAGGAATGGCCATGAGTTTGAGGCCAACCTGGGCTACAGAGTGACTTCAAGCCCAGCCTGATCAACACAGCGAGACCTTGTTTCGACAAACAAAAAGCAGCCGGGTGCGGTGGTGCACACCTGTAATCCCAGCACTGAAGGCTGAGGCAGGAGGATCTCTGTGAGTTCGAGACCAGCCTGGGCTACATAGTGAGTTCCAGGTCAGTCTCAACTACATAGTGAGACCCTGACTCAAAAAAACCAAACAAACAAAACCAAACAACAAACAAACAAACCCAGGGCTGGGGATTTACTGTAGTGGTTCTGCCCCCTTCCTCACAAACACAAAGACCTGACCTGATTTCGATCCCAGGTACAAAAAAAAAAAAAAAAAAAAAAAAAAAAAAAAAACCCAAATACTAAAAAAAAAACCAAACCAAAATACCTTTTAAAGTAAGTCAGCCTCCCACCTATCTCCCTCAGCTTTTTTTTCCCAGAGATAACACTGGGACCTTCTTTTTGGGGGGGCAGGGAAGGGAGCAAAGTCAGGACCTTGCACTTTTGAGGGAGGCTCGGCACCACTGAGCTAAATCCCCAGCCCAGTCTTTTTAATTTTTAAAAATTTTCTTTTTGTTTTGTTTTGTTTTCTTCTTTTCTTTTTGGGGGGTCGAAAGACTGGAGTTTATTTGGCTGCCTGGATGGTCAGTGAATGAGTAGCCAGGGACCTGAGTGATCCTCCAGAACGGAGGCGGCCCTCGGGGCACGGCAGCTAAGAGTAATGGGCTTGGCACAGGAGCAGGAGAAAGGTAATGGAGAGGGTGTGTGACGGCGTGCTGACCCTTGGGCAGAGCACATGAGGACGTCTTGGAGCCACGGTAACTCAGGGCATGGCATGTTGGGGCATGTGGGGACCTGGCTGCTGACTGAGAAGCTGGTGCCAAGGCTGGGAGAAAAAAGGCCTGTGGGTACAGGACCTACGCAGATGTGACTGCTGACCGACGGGATAGGTCCTGATCCTGGGAGGGATCCACAGCGGCTCCTACCGTGAGGCGGCCGGTTGGAGTCCGGCTCAGGAATACATAGCTGCAGCCGCTCCTGCAAGTTCACCCGGATTTGTCCTGTGCGCCATCTTCACCAAGAGATCTGAAGGCGCGGAACACGGCTCCGGCCTGGCCACGCAGCTGATGAAGTTGTCGAAGTCCATGCTCCCTCCGGCATCAGAGTAGCGCGGGATGTTCACGCAGCTGGAAGCCTGCGGCCTCAGGGGCCCCTGGGGTCTCTGTTGCAGATGGTCCCGATGGGCCGGCGTCAAACCGTTTGATTACGGCCTGCCGCTGTGACACTGTTCCACAGGTACGTGCACTCCTCAAAGCCCAGCTTGCCTGTGGTGTTGCTGTCGGTCACAGCCACCGTGCTTCGACGCGTGTCCAGGCCAAAGCCACTGGCTTTCAGATCAAGGTGTCAGGTCACAGCTTTGTCGAGAATGATCCTGAGTTCTGTGGCACTGACCTCCACGTCATCTCCGCCAGCTGGGTGAAGAGTCCGCCGGACCTGCTCGCTCTCCTGGGCCTCTGCCACCGCCACCGCCGCCCGGCCCAGGAAGCCTCCCGTGACCTCCCCCAGGCCCCGAGTTAACCAGGAACTTGGCTGCGATCCGCTGTCCCGGGCCTCCCGCCAGCACCCGCTCCAGAGGCGGGCGGGGGCTCCGGCTGCAGCTCCAGCCCCAGCTGAGACCCTGCGGGGAGCCCGCCTGTCATCTGCGCGGTCCTGGAGCTAAATCTCCCGCTCTTTTCTTTCTTTTTCAACACTAGGAATTATGCCTCTGTACTGAGCTACACCCCTAACCCTTTAAAAAAAAATTAATTCATTTTTGTTTTGGTACTAGGGATTGAAAGCAAGGCCTTCACACTGAGCTACGTCCGCATGCCTTTTTTTTTTTCTTCAATTTTGAGACAGGCTCACTAAGTCACTAAGTAGTCCAGGCGGGGCTCTAACTTGTAGTCCCCTTGCCTCAGGCTTTCAGAGTGCTAGGGTTACAGAAGTGTGCCACCGTGGCTGGCCCCAACACTGGAACTTTATGATACAATCTTGGTGAGATATTTCAGGTATTTGTAAGCATCTATCCATCACTCATCTATTTTTGCCTTTATATAAATAATAGTGTTCCATACAAACTCTTCTGTTCCTTGCCTATGGGCCATCATTACTTGGAAAGATGATTTATTCTTTTCTTGACGTGAATGTACCGTAATTTATTTATGTAGTCTTCACTGCTAAATATTTTGGTTGGTTGCATTTACTAGTAAAAGCAATACTTCAGTGAAAATCCTTCAACATAAGTAATTTCAAAATAAGCACGAAAGTGCCTGGGGGTGTGTGGTGGAATTCTAGAAGTAGGTGAAGTTATATTTTGATGGAAACTCTCAAACTAACCACAGTAGAGATTTCATGAATTATATTCTTACTCTCAGTGTGTGAATGTTTTATGGAACTATTTATGCTTTTAGTTGCAACCAATTGTATTAGTTAGCTTTCTCATCACGGAGACACTGTAAGACACCCACAACTTAAAGGAGATGTTTAATTTAGCTCACAGTTTCAGGGTCTTCATCTCATGGTCAGCTGAAACTTTGGCAGAAAAATCATGGCGAAAGGGTGTGGTGGACAAAAGATGCTTAGTTCCTGGAGACCAGGGGAGCAGCAGCATGCGGAACAGTGCCAGAGAAGGGCCAGGGATCTGATATAGACCTCAAGGTCACAACTCTATGACCCACCTAGACACACCCAGAAACACGCTTTAATAATCTCCAGAGCAAATGCCAAAGCCATTCAGGTTGACGATGCACCTTAACTGTCACACCAATCTCATAAAGAAAGTAAGATTTTATTATGGTACTACTATACTTTGTTTCTCTTATTAGGAGTGAGGGTGAGCATCCATTCTTAAATTTGACAGCAACTGAGGATTTTATGAAGTGCTGCTTTTTGCTTTATTACATTCAGTTTTGGTCCTGCATTCAAGCTGTTTTCTCTAGATTTCCATTTTCTTGTCATGTTTTGCCATCCTTTTTTTTTCTTCTTCTCAGTTTTTCTGAAAGGCCAAGCTGGGTATATTAGCTTTCCCAAGGACTCCAGCTATTGCTGTGTTATCTTCCAGTTTCAAACATCGATGGAAGAGTCTGGGTTTATATTGATCTTCCTATCCTGGTCCCCAACAAGGTCTTGATTTTTTTAGGTACCCAAAGGAGGATTATTTCCTTATCTCTGAAGTCAACATATCAAACAAGATATAGTCCTGTGTTAATTGTTCTGTTACAGATTTTTCCAAGACAAGGAATTGCCTTTTAAACTTAAGGTTTGTATTCCCCCCCACCCCACAATGCAAAGCAGTCTGAAAATAATGTTATATTTTTTCTGGGTTCCATTTGTTCTACTTCTTTTCAAGGAATCTGTATATTTCACTTTTCTTTCACTTATATAATTTTTCTAATATTATAAAATTCTGTCTTCCTTTTCACTTCATTTTCCTCAATTCCTAATATGCCGACAGAAGTATTTAGTGTCCTTCTTGGTGGTGTTTCCAAAGCCACCATAATTTACAATAGCCTTATTTAACCCTTCAGTTTCTTACTTGAGCTCTGTCATGTCCTGCTTCATCTTCTTATATTATCTTGCCTACCTTCCCTGAATTTTAACAACTTCTGTTTCAATGTGTTTGAAAAGCTTGGAATTCCAAATATCACAATTTTTATTTGTTCCATGGCAGGATTTTTTTTTTTATTGAATATTCTCTGACATCTGTCTCTCCCTACATCTTTCTTATTTCCTTGTAGTTTCCTTTTAAAGGTTCATATCCAGCTCTTTATTTTTAATCACTTTAAAAAATGAAATTCCCTTCATAAGCCTCTGCCTATTATTCTGGATAACAAAAAAGCTGCTTGCTGCCTCTTTGATTGGAAGATGAATCTGCAGATTAGTATAAGGCAGAACCACGGAGCTAAATCCCCAGCCCTATGTTTAGCATTTTAAAATGGAAGTCTTATGTTCCTTGTTTCTTCTGTGGTTATGTTTCGAGTTTCAAATCATTTACTTATAAAAATGGTCCCTGATTTGGAGTAGCTCCACTTATGAGTTTTTAAATTGATGATGGTCCAAGAGCAACAGGCCTTCAGTAGAAACCGTACTTGAATTTTGCTCTTTTCCCTGGCCAGTGAAGTACGGTGAGACACTTCCCGTGTGGGCAGCAGCAGCCCCCGGTCAGCCACGTGTCCACAGGGTAAACAGCGGGCTCTGCGCCGTGTGCTGTGTTGCTAGGCCGCGCCAGTCAGTAGGTGAGATGTACTACTGCACTTCCGACATACGATGCTTTCAGCTAGGTTTATTTGGAAAGAGCCCCACTGTGAGTGAATGAGCAGCAGCGGCACTATTTCTAGATCCACTGTCAGATAATAATATTAGTCTTACTTTTTCTTCTGTATTTAAATCGATTACTTGCCGGGTTGTCAACATTTAGATTCTATTCCAAATAGGCCTTCCACAGTTTGTTTATAAATTATTTCTAAACGTGAAAACAGTGTTCACATTATTCTGACAAGGTTTTTAGAAGAATAAGTTGGTGTAGAATGCCTTTATCTCAGAAAGACTTAGTGTCAGGAACATCTTCAAAATGGCAGTAAGAGCTTCAGAATCTTTTTAAATACAGGTCTGATGGTGATGAGTTCTCTCAGCTTTTGTCTGTTACGAATGTCATTTATTTTCACTCTTAAAGAATATTGTATAGAAGAGTAGAGGCTGATACAGCCTTTTTATGACTGTGCTTTGAATATGCAATTTCATCATATTCTGGTCCACTTTGTTTCTGATTAGAAGTCACTTAACACTCCTATCTTTGTTCTTGTGCATAGAATGTGTAGCTTTTCTTTAGTTGCTTTAACAGTCTTCTCTTTACTTTAGGATGTCAGCAGTGCAATTATGCTGGGCCTGGGTTTTTATGTTTTTATTTAAGAGAGGGTCTCACTCTAGTCCAGGCTGGCCTGGAACTCATGATCCTCCTTGTAAGTGCTGAGAGCCACCACCATCCCCAAGTTTTCTTTTTTCCCTCTCTGTTTTTTTGTTTTGGTTTGGTTTTTTGAGACAGAGTCTCACTATGTAGTTGAGACTGACCTGGAACTCACTATGTAGCCCAGGCTGGTCTGGAACTCACAGTGATCCTCCTGCCTCAGCCTCCCTAGTACTGGGATCACAGGCCTGCGCCACCACACCCGGCTTCTCCTCTCTGTCTTTTTTTAAATCCCGTTACAGTTTATTGAGTTTTGGAGATCTTTAAGTTGCTTTTCACAAAATATGAGAAAATTTTACTCATTATTTCTTTTCTTTTTTGTAATTTCTTTTAGTGGGAGGGAATTTAAGACAGGGACTTGTTGTATAGTACAGGGTGGCCTTGAAGTCACTATGTGGCAGGTGTGGTGCCACTGAGCTAAATCCCTGGCCCCTGACTATTTCTTAAAATACTTGTTTCTGCCATATTTCTTCCTTTGCTATTTTTTTAACAGTAGCTAAGTTTTATTCAAGTTAAGAAAAGAAGCAGGCTCTGCAGAGTCGGGGCCAGTGCACAGGATGCATGCGGGCCAGTATGCAGGACCGATCACAGGGTCCCTTCGTTTATCGTCTGTTTTTGGCACTCCAGGGGCGTGAATATCATCGCCATTTGATATCATCTCTCTTGAAAAAATAATTCTCTTTCATTTTTTTCAGATTAGACAATTTCTATGGCTCCATCTTCAAGCTGACCTCCTTTCTCCCTGACAGCTTTACTCTTTGTTAAGTAGGATAAATATTGCATATTAGGTATTATATCTTTAAGCTCTGGAGTTTCCACCTAGTTTTCTTTATAGTTTTTTCCCCCTTACCCCTGCCCTCCCTTCACCCCCCTTCACCCTTCCCTATTTACAAAGACTTTTTTCCATTTTTCACATTTTTTTTTCCCTTATTTCCTTTCCCCTCCCCTTCCCACTTCACCTTTAGCCATTTCCTTCCTATTTCATGCTCTTTATAGTTTTGATTCCTCTGTCACTATGACCACATTTTCCTTAAACTTATTGAACATAGGAATAATAACTGTTTTAAAGCCCTTTTCTGCTAATTCCTACTTCTGTGTCCCCTTTAGGTATATTTTTAATCGAATACTTCTTTCTTTAAATATAGGTCACATTTTCTTGTGTTTTTACATGTCTAATAACTTTTATTGTATGCTGGGCATTCTCACATGGTAAAGTGTCTAGATTATGTTGTCGCCCCTGAAGGAAGTTCAGTTCATTTCACGGCACCAAACCGAAATTAAGAAACTGTGTATGAGCTTATAATTTTTAGGAACAGAAAGAAAGATGCTTTATAAATCAAAAGGAAGAATAACATAAATGAGTTTCTGAGTTGATCATGGAACTTACTTTGATGAAGCAGAAGCGTACAAACTTCTCAAACTGTGATTTGGTCTCTGAGTTACAGAAGGCTGACACAGGGATGGCTGACAGTTTCTGAAAAGAGAAACAGAATTAAATAATAATGAAACCACTTATATTTAAGATACTAATGTTGAGGCCACAGACATTATACTTGGGTTTTTTTTCTCCTGTTTTGAGGATTGAACTCAGAGCTGCTATACCCCCAGCACATTTTTTTATTTTTTATTTTGAGATAGGGTCTTGCTAAGTCACTAAGTTCTCCCGGATGGGCTTAAACTTGAAATCCTCCCGCCTCAGTCTCCAAAAGTGCTGAGATTACAGGTGTGTGCCGCACGGCCTAGCTTGATATTTTAAAATATGCACAATCATTTCTAAAGTAAAAAATGTTTTAAAAATCCCCCCAAAAGTCACAAGTGGAATGCCATATAACTAAGCTACAATCAATTTTGTTCAGAGCATGTGAACAAGTTTCCTTCATAAGTCTACTACAAAATACAACACAATAATGCAAAGGCAATAAGCATTACCTTATTTTTAATCATCCATTTCACAAATTTGTAGTCATAAGGCTCATTTTTCTTCATGTCAGAGAGGTCAACATCTAAAACAACAATGAAAATTGAGTTGCTTTGAGTTATATCTGAGACAACACATATTGCACTGAGATTCAAAATCTTCTCCCAATTTAATCTGATTTAGCTTAGAACTTTCCTGAAGGATGTTTGCAACATGCTAGAGTCTCACACTGTGTTGTGAGGTGCACAGGGAGGCATTCACTGATACCCCAGGGCGATGTTCACACACACACACACACACACACACACACACACACACACACACACGCCTGGCCACGCATGCACAGGGAGCTGTTAGCACAGGAAGAGAGCAAGAAAGGGGAAGGAAAGAGCGAGTACTGCCTTCCCTCCAGGAAATAGGACTCCATGATGATTATTAAGGAAATAATAAGTGAATCTATATTCATTAGTACTAATTACGTTTCTTAGAGATTTTAACCTCCATGAGGGTAAAGTTTTTGGTTTGCAACCTATTGTTGTATTGTATTGCTTCCATATATTATGATGCTTTAACAATTTCTTTATTTTGGGAAAAAAACTTCAAATATATATTTCTTTCCATTATTATCATTTTCATCTGTCTTGCTTTAAAGGCAGGATATTTTTTTGGCATTCACTTTGAACAATCTACATTTCATATTGTTTGAATTTTATTGGCTTGTGTTCTTATATTTTTTAGAATGCCTCCAAATACCCAATGTTGATGGTTACTACAATCAATGAAGTTTGTAATTTATTGCTCAGAACAACTTCAGGCAGATGTCTTCCTTCTTTAATTAACTAAATACTGGTGGGTGCTTTTCAAATTAATCTTTTAAAAGCCATATATATATATATATATATGTCATTATGTGTATTTATCTTAATTTTCTCTCCAGTCTCCTCATACTTTTAAGAAGGTCAAATTTCCATAATAATATACGACCACTTTTTGAGGATTTCCTATTTGTTAGGCATCTTACATGGTCCTCTCATTTAGTTGTCCCAACAATTCTGAGATATAGCTACAATTCTCTCTTTATAGATGAAGAACTTAAATTACTATTTCAAGATATATGTATGTATGTATGGGTACTTCATTCAAGTTTGGCCCTAACAAAATAACAGCTTAATAATATTAGAATCTAATTGTAAATTATGTATGAACTCCACGTGATAAGTACTCTGTATAAAGACAGCCCAGGGAAATGATTACCTACGGGTGTAGAAGTAAGAACAAGAGGTCACTAGCCATAATTGACACGCTGAAATACTGATTTATTCCTTTTCAAACATTTTTATAGTATATCTTTGCGACAGCTTAGAAAAAAGGAATTGATTACTATAGTGCTTACATAGGAAAGAAGGGAATAAATACAATTATAAAGGCTTTGGAGTTAGAAGGAAATTGTAATCTATTTCTTTTTAAATGACTCAGCCAGAGACCCTTAAGGGAATGAAACAAAGTCATTCTTCGTTGAAAGTGAGAGTTTAAACCAAACGTATTAGCATATTTAAGCAGTCAATGAAAATCTAACTTGCTTTTGTATTATCACCATCTCCTCCTGAATGCATTATCCCAGCAGACAATAGTAATCATCTCCTTATTTATCATCTTTCCTTCTCATCAAGTGTTCCTCTTTTTAGCTCTAGGATGAAAGTCATGCGTCTGGAAAAGATTCTTAGCAGAAAACAGATTAAATTCACTGATCAGGGCATGGATGTCTGGGCTGAGAGCTAACTTCTGGGGCTGATTAGTCAGTTAACTTCAGTACCATACTGATTCTCCGCTCTTTTCCATCAACTCGCGGAGCACAGAACCTACTGCATAAGATTTTCTTGAGAATGTGATATTTGCAAAGCTCCTAATATAATGCTTACTGTATCACAAATGCTCCATACATAGTAACCAGTGTACCACTATTATTAATTTAAAAAGGGAAATAATGTTATGGTTTGTTTTTATTCTCACCAGAAAGAACTTATATAGACCACCAGAAGAAATAACAAGAATAGGCTGGGGATTTAGCTCAGCTTTGCAAGTGCAAGTTTGATCTCCGGTATCCACACACGCACGCACACACGCGCACACACACACACACACACACACACACACACAATGACATAGACAAGGGGTCCCAGTCTAATCCAAAGACAGCTCAGAGAGCCAATCACGTCATGGTAAGTTCCGGGTAAGGGAAGGAGAGGCCAGGAACAAAGGGTCCATGATAGTCCTGAATCTTTCTGGAGCCTCCTACTCTGATTCTTATCAGGGTAGCTATTTAGCTTCTCCTTTATCTTCCTTTCTAATAAAGCCTCTTCCTTTCTAAATTTTGCATCTTTAATTCCTTACTGGTACTGAGTTTAGGATCACGGTGAGCTGCTCATCCCCAGGACATGACAACCTGAACACAGTGTCTAGCTCTCTGCCTCCTTGGCTCCCCCTGGATGTATTTCTTACGTGACCATCTCCTGGTGACCACCTCCCTCTGGGACAGCTGGGTACACCTACTTGATTTGTTCCAGGGGCCCCACGTGCCTCAGGGGCTGCAGAGACACACTGACCACCTCTCGTAGAAGTCCTACTCCACACATCTTGCCCCTGCTTGCTCCAGCCTCACCCATCAGGTCTGCCTGTGGACACCTGTGTGGGTGACGCCCTGGAGCCTCAGTGAAGGCTTTGGCTCCCTTGTTCTCTCTCTCTCGTCCCCCAGACCCTGGTTAGGTGTCCCTTACCCAGAGGATTCCTTCCTTCCTGTTAGCCCTGTCAGGCCTGCTGCCCCCTTCTCTCTGGGATCTGCCAGTAAGACACTGCTCTCATCCCAGGTGCTGTGTTGTCCTGCCGCTGCTGTGCCTCACCTGACCGATAAAACTGAACCCAGCACTCCTCCTGGGCAGAGTTGAGAGCCACCAGGGAGAGTCAGTACAAATGAGTTTCCCATGAAAGGAATGCCCAGTCATGGGCAGCAAGATGGTCAATGGGGTAAGGAAGTATTACAGATGCCACTGCCCCGATAGCCTGTTAGGCACTAGAGCCTCTCCAGAGAGACTTCAGGAGCAAAGTACGTACGAGTCATGACATTTCCTTTCCCCAAATCTGCGAAGATGATCATAAAATACTGTAAGAAGTACAAACTGTTATGTCAAATGCTTGTGTATTAGAAAAATAAAACTATATCCACTATTTTGTTATAAAATCAGTTATGTTTTACTCTTCCAGTTACCTAAAGTTTGGTATAAATAAAAAAACTCTAGGCCGGGGATTTAGCTCAGTGGTTCCAACACCTGCTTTGCAAGTGCAAGGTCCTGAGTTCGATCTCCAGCATCCCACCAAAAAAACCCAAAACAAACAAACAAACAAACAAAAACTCTAGTTTTTCCAGGGGCATAGATTTGATTTATAATAAATCAAATTTAAAAACTATATATATACATATGCTGTAAAGTTTATTTTGATAAATGGTACACACATACACACACACACACACACACACACACAAAACATTAGCACACTTTTATCTTCTAGACTGTTGGTTTGTCAGAATTGCATCTATCAGCTTTACGTAAGGTAAGACCATGGCTTTTTGGAGACAGAACTATTTAGAATCTAGCTGTGTGACTAATCTTTTTGTCTGCAAAGATGGCGCTAACACAGCTTTTTCAGAAGAGTATTTGAGTGCTTGGTATAGACTTTCCGTACATACCATTTTTCTTGTTTGTCTCATTTCAGTATATCCCCAAAGGGCAACATTTTTGATGGGTTCAACATTTCTAGAAATCTTGTAACAAAACAATGAAATTTTTTTGTCAAGCAAAAAGGAAATTGAAATTTTACCCAACGAAAACAGTGCATATGCATTATTTCAAGTATCAGTGTTGTAAAATAGACACCAGAACAGAATGACTGCAATACAGTGTTCAAGGGAATAGCTACACAGCACCAACGCCACAGTAATTTAGCAACAGCCACATTTCAGGTAGAAATCCTGAAAGTAATGATAATTGCAGAAAATGTTAACTGTTGAGATCTACCCTCTTTTATATAAAAAGGCTGTGATGGCTGTGATACTAACCTGTTCTGCATAATTTTGTTACAACTTTACATGAGTCTGTATATAGTTGAAATAATTACAAACCTTTACCAACCTAATGAAGACACATCAGCAATGATGAAGTACCCTCCATCGGGAACTATGGGTTTCAGGCCGACACTTTCAAGTAAATGTACCATCCGATCTCTTTTTACTTCCAATTCTTTTGGCAAAGAATTAAAGTAACACTCTGGGTCATCCATGCGCTTGAGGTCAATCCAGAGAGCTTGAGCCAAGGCTTCCTGTGTGTTAAGGTTGAAAATGTGGAAAGGAAATGTGGTACTATTAGTCATTGCTTAGTTTTTTGGTACAATAAATAAAGATCATTTGAGTTAAATTTTTGGTAAAAAGGTCACTCAGGAAATAACAGTTGCATCCCTGTAAACCTATATCAAACCCCACAGCTTAATGGAGGGACCAGTCACACGTAATTGATTAAATCTGATGTGATGAGCCAAAAATGAGTCATGAAAATCCACATTGAAAAGAGGAATGATAAGGCCGGGCGCGGTGGCGCACGCCTGTAATCCCAGCACTCGGGAGGCTGAGGCAGGAGGATCGCTGTGAGTTCGAGACCAACCTGGGCTACATAGTGAGTTCCAGGTCTGTCTCAGCCACATAGGGAGATCCTGTCTCAAAAAACAAAACAAACAACCAAACAAAAGAAGAGGAATGATACAACGATAACTTACTTGGTAACAAAGAGATGCTAAGTTGGCTTTTACTGAAGCTGTAGAATGACTGGCTAAAGCCAAGTGTGAAAAATGACCAGAGGACTCATGAAGAGTCAGCCGTCCCCACTGCGTTGGTGGACACAGTGAGAACGAAATGTACCTCCTTCCTTTGCCTGAGGGTACGAATCCTTGCTATAATCATTTATATCCCAGGAAAGCTGCCTGAGACAGACAGGATTACAAGTGAGTTTCTGGAGTGTGCAGGTGACTCCTCTACCACCCTTCAAGCACGTCAGAAGAGCCAGGAGGGAAACTGGGCCAAGAAAAAATCCAGTGTTGTTAAGCGCAGAGGAGCTACAGTGTGTATTCCCCTGTCTGTGTGGTAACGGTAGTAGGAGGTGCAGCCTTTGGGAGGCAATTAGGTCAGGAGAAGAGATCTTCCATAAATACTATTAACACCCTTAGAAAAGACATTGCTGGGCATGGTGGGCCACACCTCTAATCCCAGCACTTGGAGGCTGAGGCAGAAGGATCCTTGCAAATCTGAGGTCAGCCTGGGCTACATAGTGAGTTCAAGGCAGCCTGAACAATAGAGTGAGAACCGGTCTCAAAAAAAAAAAAAAAAAAAAAGACTGAATAAAGATATAAAAAAATAAAAGAGAAAGGTGGCTTCCACGTCCCTCACAGGAGGATGCAGTGAAAAGATGAAAAGGAAGCAGGCCATCCTTAGACATGGAATCTGCTCCATCTAGGACTGCCAGCCTCCGGAACTGAGAGATCTGCGGCTCTTGTTCACAGGCCGCGCCCTCTGTGATCCCTCGTCATCGGAGCCTGGGCCGACAGAGACATCAACAATCAGGGAGGTGTCTGGGAATCAGGGTGAGCACAGAGGGCAGAGATCTGCACACGCAGAGGCCGGGAGCTGGGCGGGCAATGGACAGGGGGAGGACCCGAAATAACAGTACCAGGGCAAACCAAGCAGCAGAGACCCAGGAATGAGACCCAGAGAGCTGGGAGTGAGAGACAGAGGCTCAGACTGAGAAACTGATCAGAAGTAAGAGGTGCCAACAAGTAAAGGAAAAGCTGATTGACTCAGTGAGTCCACGCTGAGGACGTGTGTTAAGGAAAAGAGCCAGGAATTAAACAGTTAACAAGGCAGCTGGGATCCTTGCCTTCGTGGAGCTTATTGACGGGAGGGGTGAAAGAGAGACAGATAAATGGGAAGGGGAGAACGCAATTTATTCTGTCGGGAGAAAAGAGAGGGGTCCGGAGTGGCTGATGAGGAGCGAGAGACACAGCACGCCGAGAGACGAGACAGAGGCCAAAGGGGCAGCACAGCACTGGAGGCTTCGTGGCAGAAAAATTCTGCAACGAAACACAATTAGTGATTTCCCATCGGAGGAAACCACAGGCCAGTCTCCAAATGTAGTTCTCTGAGGGCGAAACGGGGCATCTTGCCGCAAAGGAGAATCAGTATATGTGCTGGCGAAGCGAGCACGGAAAGGGAGAACAGGATGGTTCAGAAAAGATGGCCTAGGTTTTCACCTATATTATTATTTTTTTTTTTACCAACTTGTTCGTTCCCTATAGCAATGTGCAGCTTGCTGCTCAGAAGCGACCACTCCCGGGAGGCTCCCAAAGATTACCCCATTTCCTCCGCTTGGCACTTTGTATCCTCCTATTTTTCCTCTTCATATCTCTTAACATCTGACACACTGTATTTTAAAAATATTATTTGGGTCCCCCAATGAGGCCTGAAGCTACCCAACCAAGTGCAGGCATTTCTGTATGTTGCATCTTCAGCACTCATATGTGAAAGAAATAAATGAATTTATTTTGAGAGGACAAAATGAATTTAATATGCAATGAAAATACATTAAAAAGTGTCAGAACTAGCCTTTGTCGTGCTATTACTTTAGAGAGCTGAATTCTTAATTCTTTTAGGTAAACATCCTTTTTTTTGTTTTCTTTTTGAGCCCAGGCTGCATACCCTCTGGAGCCTCTGGACTGCGGGGTTTACAGGTGCGCTCCACCAACCCCAGTTCTCGGTAAGTATTCTTCTTTTTTGTTTTTGTTTTTGTTTTTTGAGACAGGGCCTCACTGTGTAGTTGAGACTGACCTGGAACTCACTATGTAACCCAGGCTGGTCTCAAATGCACAGCGATCCTCCTGCCTCAGCCTCCCGAGTGCTGGGATTACAGGTGTGCGCTACCACGCCCGGCTTAGTTAGTATTCTTCACAGGAAACAAAAAGTCAAATTCAGTGTAGCCAATACCCTTAATTCTTTTATCCTAGTAATTGCCGTTTCAGTATTTTGGTTATTCACAGAATGTAGATCCTGCTTCTGCAAATATATACATGAATAGAAACAATATGTCCCTTCCTATCGGTAATTATAGAATTTCTGCATTCCTTTTCTATTTTTCTTTTTAAACAGCCCCTCTGGTAGAATAATGACCTTACAAGATGTCCATATCTTAAAACTCATAACCTGTAAACACATTAGCTTGCAACGTTAAAGACTGCAGGTGTGATTTAAATTAAAGACCTTGATTTCCAGAGGTTATCCAGTGGGCCCAAAACAATCACAAGGGTCCATGTGAGGGAGAGAGGCAGCTGAGTTAGAGCCACTGAGAGAGCTGTGTTTAGGAAGCAAAGGTTGGAATGATGTGACTATGAACCTCCAGTAGCTAGAAAAGGCAAGGAGTCTCTGGAAACAGTGCAGGAGGGCCTTTGGGACACATTCTGGATGTCTGATGGGCAGCTCTGTAAGGTAAGTTTGTGTTGCTTAAGGCTTTAAATTTGTGGGAATCTGTTACAGCAGCAGTAGGAAACCAATACAGTCATAATATTTCTTTCTTTTTTTTTTTTTGTTACCATGATTGAACTTGGGTCCTTGTGCTTTTGAGGCAGGTGCCAGAACCACTGAATCCCCCGCCCCAGTCATAATATTTCAATACTTGGCTAGATCATGGTTTATTTAACAGCTGTCTAGAGATGGGTAATAGACCATACTCAAAAGTCTGCAGCAAACAGCTACATATATAAGTAACTTCTTACACTGCCCATATTAAAACTAAACAAAACATCTAGATACCAGTGAAGACGTGTCTGCTCCTAAATTCCCAATTGTTTTAGAAGGCCTTTCTCAAGAAAGACATGAAGGGAGAACTAAATTGAGATCCCTGATATAAAAGTGACACCGTTACCAACAAATCATGCTCCCACCTCAAGTCACTAGATCACCTACCTGTAAGGGAGTTGTGCAAGTGTAAACAGTGTTTTGTTGAACAGTCTGTGCATGTTTTATCAAGTGGTGAGGACCAATGGTCCAGCCAAGCTGGGAAAGGAAGAGATTAAAGACACATTTCAAAAATAATCCAATAGTATATCAACAGCAGATCTGAGGGAGTAGTTAATATAACTGTTAAATATAGGCAATTTAGAAATGTTCACTTTATGAAAGCAGCACAATGTTATTGTTAGAAGCTCAATGCTGTTCTCTTTGGTGGGAAAGTGGTCACTAATTCAGCCTTCATCACTAAGCTTTGTCTCTGTAAGGTGAACAAAACCTGACATCACTTATAAGCCTTTCCTCCCTCCTAATTTGCTACTTCTCCTTTTCTAGAGGAAGAAGAGCCAGTGGCAAAGATTGTTTCATTTGCAGACAGAGGTAACTCTGAATGAAGGAGCCCTGTAGAACTCTTCAGAAATTAAAACACCTAGACTTGGATTCTGCAGGCCACCTTCTGATGTTCATGGTAGCCACGTTCAGGAGAGGTGAAGCTGGAAAAGGATTCAGTTTCCACTGGGCAGACAGTGACTGTAGTAAACAGTGCAGTGACCTGTAAGACCCTATCCAGAGGCTCGACAGGGTATGCAGCCTGGGCTCAAGTGTGTGGATTCTGAACCCATACTGTTGTGCTGGCTTGAATTTAATAGCAGTGCACACTCAGGCAAAACACTTAACTTTTTCCTGCTTTAGTTTTATCATCTGTAAACAGGGATAATAATTGTACCCACGTGATGATGTGGTAATGAGAATGAAAGGAATCAGTGTATATAAAACATTTAGAGCATGTTAAGGGCCAAAATATTAGGTAATACTTTTTTTCTCTTTTTATACTATTATGCAGTAACCTGAATTGTCTTTGTAGAGAAAAAAGTACAATTAGCTGATCACTTATAAACTAAAAATATTAGCTGGGTGTGGTGGTACACACCTGTAAGCCCAGCTCTTGGGAGGCTGAGGCAGGAGGGTCACTGTGAGTTCGAGGCCAGCCTGGGCTACATAGTGAGTTCATGGCAGCCTGAACTACAGAGCAAGATCCTGTCTCAGAAAAACAAAACAAAACAAAAGAAAAACCCCAGCATGGTAGCGCATATTTGTAATCTCAGCACTTGAGAGGTTGAGGCAGGAGATTCACCACGAATTCAAGCCCAGCCTGGGCTACATAGTATCTGTACATAGTATCTCAAACAAACAAACAAACAAACAAACAAATAAAACAAACACCAAGTAAATAGAATGAAAAAATTACCTGGCTTTTCTTCTTTTGTTTGTTTTTTGTTTCTTGAGGTGGGGTCTTGCTTTTCCAGGTGGTTTTCAACTCCCTATGTAGCCCAGGCTATCCTCAAACTCGTGGTGATCCTCCTGCCTCAGCCTTCCAAGTGCTGGGACAAAAGGTATGCACCAGCAGAACTGGCTAACTTTCCTTACTTTTAAAGAAATAATTAAATCTCAAACAAGATGAAGCTCCACATGAAAGCTGTATAAGTGAACAATTAAAAGATGAAGATCTATGTAAACTAAGTCTGTATGCATTCATTTTTATCTATCTATTCATTTCTTGTGACAGACTCATTATGTAGTCCAGGTTGGCCTTGGACTTGGACGGAGCATATACGCATTTGAGACACAAAACATTCTATAAAAACAAGAAAACCCGTCCTATTTTTAAGCAACTTTTTTCTTCCTCTTTGGTGAGGGGATGGAACCCAGGCCCTCTGGGTGCGAAGCACAGATCCTCTCCACGCCCTACCACCAAGCCTCACCCAGCCAGGACCGAGTTCCGAGGCCTCTCACCTTCCAGCCCGTCACGCTGAAAGTCTTCCCGGCACTTCCTACGGTTACCGTTCTCTCCCACATACCCGGGAAAGTGGCTGAAAAGGGGCAGGGAAAGGTCAAGCAATTGTTTTCCAATCAATCTGTATTCAGTATAATCTAAAACTATAATGAACGTTATATGAATTCAATGAAAATACATTAATGATAGTAGCATGAATATTTCAAGTTACCCGAAGCCTTCATACTGAGCTATATACCCAGCCTTTATCTTTTTTTTTACATTTTAAGACAGGGTCTCACTGAATTGCCCAGGCTGGGTTTTAAGTCGCAATTTTCCTGCCTTAGCCTCTGAGTGTTGAGATTACAGATGTGCGCCAGCGCACCTGGCTTCAGTAGGTTTTTTTGTTTTTTGTTTTGGGTACTGGGGATCAAAGTCAGGACCTTGTGCTTGAGAGGCAGGCGGTGGCGCCACTGAGCTAAATCCCTGGCCCGGCCTTAGGTTTTTAAAAACAATATAACTTTAAGCCTAAATTTAGCTGAAAATGCTGCAATGTTTTTAAAACACTGCAGTGTTTTACCAAAATAATATGTGAATTGATTTAATAAGCTTCCGGTGTTTACACAGACGTAATGACCCGGTGGCAGGTTTTGGTTGTGGTCTTCATGACCGCGAAGCACCGCCCCTTTATTCTGCCCACTTTGTGAGTCTGCTTCTCCAAGCTTCTTTCCTAGAGTCATTCTTTTGTTTTGTTTTGGTTTATTGAGACAGGGTCTCACTATGTAGTTGAGACTGACCTGGAACTCACTGTGTAACCCATGCTGGTCTCGAACTCACAGCGATCCTCCTGCCTCAGCCTCCCGAGTGCTGGGATTATAGTTGTGCGCCACCACATCCGGTCAGTCATGTTTTTCAGTATGTTAGCAATATCAGCAACACTTAGGAATGTGTAAGAAAGGGAAGCGGTTGGGCCTCATCCCAGACCTACTGAATCAGAACTCTGGTGCCAGGCCTGCTAATTTATACGTGTGTGTGTGTGTGTGTGTGTGTGTGTGTGTGTGTGTGTGTGTTTTGCTACAACTTTATTGAGATATAGGTCCCAAATCATGTAATTCACCCATTAAATGCAGTGGTCTTTAGTATTCCCATAGAGGTTGGGACCATCAGGACAATTTTGGATCATCTTTTCCACCCTAAAAGGAGCCCTGTACCTTCAGCTTCAGCTAAAATCCCCTAGGAAGCTGTAGCTGAATGAAGCTGAAACCTAGACACATCCTCCTAGCTACATGTGGTAGCGTTCCTGCGCTCAGGAGCATGAGCACACTTCATTTAGAGCCTGGGCTGCTTTAAATGCCTGAGTCGCCATGAATCACAGCCTTGCAGTTGGAGCTAAAGAAGTAGAGCGTCTGGCCGGGGATGTAGCTCAGCAGCACCATGCCTGCCTTGCAAGCACAAGGTACTGAGGTTGATCCCTGGTAGGAAAACAAACAAAGAAGTAGACTGTCCCTGTGTTAAGCCTCAACTGGGACACATGTGTGGGGTCAGCCAACGTTTCTGCTCCTCTTTCAGGGGCCATGAGTATTGATTTTGAGGTTACAAATAAATTTTAGGGACCTGATGCATTCGTAGATGTGGTATCTATAAGTGAGAATCACCTGCACAAAGACCGTCAAGTTGATTAGTGTCTTTCATTTCATTCATTCATTCACCCATCAAATACTTATTAGCAATTACCAGGGGCCAGGGACTAAACTAAATTAGATCTAGAAGAAACAGAGGTGGGTAAGAAATTTGTCTGCCTTCAAAGAACTTAATTTTAGCACGGGGGATGAGGTCCACAAAAGTGTGATGAGCGCTGGAATTGGCTGTAGGCACGGAGAGTCTGCGAGGATGGAAGAGGGTGCTGTGGACAGGTTCTTGTGGGGCCGAAATGGAAGACATGTTGGCCTTCGCCAGGCAGACAGAGGAAGGAAAGGTGTTTGCTGCTCAGGGAATGAGGGTGGCAAAGTTCTGGAGGTGTGAAACTCAAGTGTTTGTGAATTCTGAGGACACTTGTGTAATGAGAATGATCTGTGAATCTGCCGAGAAAGCCACCATAACACTGCGGGCTGGATTCTTCAAGGACGTTAGCTGTTAGTTTCTTATCGTGCAACCTCACGAGTTCTTCACTTGTTTTTAGAAGTACCATGGGGACTTTTATACTGTTTTAAGAGTGCTAGCGCACACAAAGGGAAAATAAATATTCATTTCTGGGGGTCCGAGCATCTGATTTTTTAAAAAGTATCTGCTCCATAGCAAGTATCTTCTTATTGAAATGTAAGGCGGCTAAAGAAGTTTCAAAATGATGAATAAGTAATTTCAATTTATTGTGAAGTATCTGCCAATATTTTAACAGTAGGAAAGCTACATAAATTATAAGCTATAATTATAGCCTTTGTGGAATGTAACAAAATCAAAAAAGATAAATAAGGAATATATTTAGAAGGTCTGTTTGAAAAAGGAATATTCTGATATTTGATATAACTATATCCTTTGAGATTTTTTTTTTTCTTTCTGAAGTATTCTGGGAGGAACCATGACACATGCCCCACTTTCTTTACCAGAGCAAAGTCTAAGTTAGGTATAAGGCAGGGGATCACTTCTTTTAATGTAATAATGCACAAGTACATCTCAAGTCCGGAGGCTTCTGAATATCTAGAAAAGGCCTCTGAATATCTAGAAAAATTATTTGACATAAGAACTATCCAGAGAAATTAACAGAGCACTTACATGCTTTCATTATACATTAGATAAAAGGGAACCCAAACTACTCACTTTAATATCAGACATAAATTTCATTCACAAAATATCAAATCTAGTCATAGTATTTAGAAGAATAGCTATTTTATCAATGACTATTTTAGCCATATAAAAGTGGATTTCTTCCTCCCCCTCCAAGGGAGTAAGCTGATCAGCTGAATAGCATATAAGGAATTTTTAATTAATTTTGCAAATATCAGTGTCTTCATATAACTTGGGGCAAGGGAATAAGTTTTCTTTTATCGACTGAAATGTCACTTTACTGATCAGAAAATAGCATTTGAATCAATCTGATCCCAAAACAGCAAATTTAGGGGCCGGGGATTTAGCTCAGAGGGTCCACCACCTGCCTTGCAAGCGCAGGGACCCAAGTGTGATCCCCGGTACCAAAAAAAAAGAGCAAATCTTACCATTTTATAAAAAAAATAACCTTAAGTAATGTTAAAATATCTAGAAGCTCATGTCCCCTCTACCTCAGAAGACTTGGGGACACAGAAGTACATGTGGATATACAGGCAAAAGAGATGAACACATACAGCTTGGCAGACCAAAGTGGTAATTCAAAGATGAAACCAAACAAACAAACATAAAAGCTCTTTTGTTTGTTTTTTGAGACAGGGTTTCACTGTGTAGTTGAGACTGCTCTGGAACTCACTATGTAGCCCATGCTGGTCTCCAACGCACAGCGATCCTTCTGCCTCAGCCCCCAGAGTGCTGGGATTACAGGCATGCACCACCACGCCTGGCTCCAAACATAAAATCTTTAAACAAACAAACAAAAAACCTCCAGAACTTTCCAGGTCTGATGACTTTGAAAAATTAAATTATAGTTTAAATTTAGATTGAGGTTATAGCTGAAAGGCAACTAGTCTTTATACTTCCATCAATGGTGGATAATGCTTAATTTAGCCAAAGTAGCTCTGTTATTCGTAGATGATTTAGACTTTAACAGAAGTCCGATAAAGACTAGAGACACAATGAAGCAGCTGCACTGGGGAAAACGGCCTCCATAGCAACACCAAGACGATGCTCTTGTCACGATGTGTCACTGAAGAGCCCCACTGTGTTATACAAGAAACAGCTCCGCAAATGGATGCGAGCTATTCTGCATCTTTCATGAGCAGATTATGACAGTTAATAGAATGCCTATGCTTCAGTAATGCAATTGTGCTTTCTAGATAATTAGTGAACTCATTTTGTTCTTTTTAAAAAGCTATATGGGTTGTTATGACAAAAAAAAAAATCTGAATTTAAAATATGGATCCTGCATATCCTCAGCAAATAGCACTGTTACACTTTACCCTGGTGAGCTTGTAATTCCTAAGTCTACACAATGCATTTCAAGATCATCTCAAGTGATCAGGAATATTGTTAAATCGAGCTAACTGCAAAACAATTCATTGTTCACGTTGGACTGACTTTTCAACTGGGAAACGGTTCAAATTATCTGAAACCCAGGCCATCAACAAAATGGGCAGTGGTGGACTCTGATGTAATTTGGACACAGAATATTCTCCTTAAGAAAATTTATTCTTGGGCCAGGGACTTAGCTCACTGGTTCTGCTGCCTGCTTAGCAAGTGCAAACTCCGAAGTCCGATCCCCAGTACAAACAAACAAACAAACAAAAACAAAAAAGAAAAAATAATCATTCTTTACTATGGTTCAGCTCCCACCAAAATTTGATGACTGCCAAAAATACATGGCTTTGTGATCTGATCCCGATCCTCAGGCCTAATAAATCCACTTACCTTCAGGTATCACCTCCTGTATGGCTCGGTGACACTCCAGAAGTTTACACCACGAGAAGTAGGAGTGGCCTTGGCTGAACTCCTGCCCGCAGACCTGCTCCTCCTTTCCCTATCGCCCAGTAATCCAGGCCATGGACCCCACAGACTTACTTGTCTCCTTCCCACCTGTAGATGCTGTGCTGGATGCCCTACAGCTCCTGATTCTAAAGCATTCCACGTATCAGTTCTCCTGCCAGGCGCATGATTTGCTAAAGATGAGGATCTGCACCTGGCTCTTTATTTAAAAAAAAAAAAAAAAAAAAAAAAGCCAGGTGTGGTGGCACACGCCTGTAATCCCAGCACTCAGGAGGCTGAGGCAGGAGGATCACTGTGAGTTTGAGACCAGTTTGGGCTACATAGTGAGTTCCAGGGCAGTCTGAACTACACAGTTAAGACCCTGCCTCAAAAAACAAAACAAAACAAAAAAATCTGGTTCCTCCGCGTGCCTCGCAAGCACAAGGACCCAAGTTCAATCCCTGGTACAAAAAAAAAAAAAAAAAAAAAAAAAAAAAAATCAATCCTGGAAACAATTCTTCTGCCTTGTCTCTTGTTTGCAGTAGTTCCCAAAGTGTAATCATTGGCACTGCAGTGATCAAATTCACATATAGAATTTTTTTAAAAAATCAGTTTTAAGGTTTTTTTTCCACGTAATTTTCTGAAGCCTCTGGCAACTGCTGCCACTTATCTGATGGTGAATGCTACGCGCTGTGAAACAAATGAGTCCCGACCAATGAATATTAATGGAATCAGAGACATTCAAACATGTTTCTCTCAATTGCTCTTTGTTCCAGACAAGTATGAATAGAATTATGATTTTTACACTGATTCTGAACTGTCAGATATCTCAGAAAAAATGGCTTCTAATTTTGGCATAGAACTGCTTCTAGTTTCATTATGTTGCTATTTCATGATGGAAAATATTGTGGTTTCAAGGTGCTTTGCCCAGCAAGTTTCAGAACCACTGGCCATTGCAACAAAGTATATGTCCTTTGTTCTCTTACACAAAGGCCTTTAGAATCCCTGTTTCCTCAAACTCATTGGCACCAGCTTCGCCAGCACACTCTTATGAATCAAACTGCTTGCTTACCTCTCTTACGTACATCCTGCTCTTGAGTGCCTCCATACCTAAGTACCACTAGCTTATCCGACAGGAATGGGAATGCAGTTTGAATTTCTCTGCCTATCTTTCCATCTTTGCCCACTGCTTTTCTGATCCCCTCAACCAGCTGCTTCCTCCTATTCTACAGGCAGCTGTACTGCACTACAAGAACAATTACGGCTCGCACAGCCAATATATAGACACATGCACTCATTTTTAATTTTCTCTCTTTCTGCCTCACCCTTTACTATTCTTCCCTGGCTATTTCGATTTCTGACTCATTTATTTGACAACTGGTTTTCTAACCCTGTTCTGGAAAGTGAGGATTCAGAGGAGAACAGCAACAAATAGTCTCTACCTTTTGCAGTTTAAATGTGAAACGCATAGCTTCTGGTATTGACTCTAAAGAGAAAAACAAAACAAACAGGAAGAAGAAAAAAAAAAAAAGACCAACCACATGCTTTAGTAAGAGGTGTAACTATTTTAAATGTGGTGGTCATTGAAAAGTGACACAGGGATGAGACCTAAAGGAGGTGAGGGACCAGGCCAGGTGGGCACTTGGGGAAAGAGTTTCTAGGCAAAGGAACGACAGGTGCAAACGCTCAGTTTCCAGCCCAGCTAGCTGATAATTCTCCCAGTTCAGGCTGCCCTACAAGACGCTGGCATCTGTCAGACGGCCCGCTAGTGATGACTTTATCCAAGACAAGAACTGAGGGGCAACATCTTAGTGTCCCTATCATTTCTCCCTGTTGCCTCACATTTTAACAATCTGTTCAGCATTATCTAGTCCAGAACCTCGCTGGGAACAATTACGCTCTCTGTATTTTATGTACCAAGGAATATCAGGATTCTTACTAAGAGTCCAAGGAGACAGGCAAAGGTAGAATTTCTCTGGCTTCACAGTTTCAGAGTGTGAGCTGAAATCTCTCTCCCTAAGTTGTACCATTCGTTTTTCAAGCTTTTCATCAATTCCAGCTATAAGCATCACTCACGCAAATGTTATTCTTAAGTGCTCACGCACATACTGATTATAAAGACTATTTTATAGCTGGTCGTTTCCAATCAGTTGTTCCATATGTGCCCAAACACACTTAGATTTGTGACTCAGTACCTATTTTTAAGTGCTTATTTCCGGTGTATACAAGCCACTCATAAACCTCGTCGCTGATACAGAGTGCGTCGTATTTGATGCAAAGACGAGCAATCAGTTGGAGCTCTTCTTTCGTATACACCTGCACAGATCGAAGGAAAGAGCACAGCACTTACTACTCAACGTGTGAGCGGACAACAGGTCAAGGCCTGTGCAGAGAGAGACTCGCTTACCTTGCCAAGGGGATTGTGTGGAGTATTTAGTATGATGGCTTTGGTTTTAGAATTGAATTTGCTTTCGAGTTCTTGAGAATCTAATGTCCAGTCAGAACTTGACCATTTTTTTTCACCAGCAGCTTTCTAAGCATGAAGAGCGAAGATGGGATTTAAAGAAATTACTTCATGTTTGCTAGCTTACAAATAAATGACAATAAGAAAAAAAAAAAAAGGCATGGCAGGGGTCACTGAAGAAAGGAGGACTAAAGAACAGAGATAACCGAGCTTTGAGCACGGTGGTGACCTGAGTGCTCTGCTCAATGTTAACGGGAAAGTGAGCTCTGTCCACCTGGACAGCTACTAACATCCCATCTTCCCAGGAGCTTGCTCTAAGTGTGGTTACCACGCTGCTACGGAAGCCGAACAGGGGCTTCTGTGACTCGCCATAGAGGGTTAATGATTTTGAAAAGATTTAGAACCTTTATTGGTGACCAAGCAATTAGTATTTTTAAAAAATCTTACAATGTACGAATTGACTGACAAACTTACAGATCTTAGGGGAATAAAAACAGGTGTTGCTCCAGCCATTCTCACCATGGGCTCGTAGCAGTCGTAGAAAGGCACCATTATTATAACCTGAGATAAAAGCAAGTAAGGACACAGCACACAGTCGTTAATTTATTTCACCAATATTTTGTACTTTCCATGAGCAAGGATGTCTCTAAGTTGAGATGCCACAGTGAGAAAGCCTCATCTTTGTGGAACTGATGTCTGAATTTAAGAGACCCTGGATTCAAAGTTGTCCAAAGAGTCTAAGTCAGGAGTTCCTGGGCTTTTTGGAGATCTATGGACAGGCTTGCAGTGGGTGTGCTTGAAGCGGTAAAACTTTACACGTGCATGAGTAGATTTATGTGGAGAGAGGGGCCGTACCAATGAACCAGAAATGGGCCCTCCCCTCAAGAAGATGGAGAGGTCTTCATCTGTGAGGTTCTTAAGGACTAAGAGGACCTACCTGTTTAACGTGGTGCAGATACAGAACCCAGTATAAAGTGAGAGCTCAGTACAGCACAATAACCCAGAAAAACAGTGGAAAGAACCCAGCTGATGCCCTTCATCTTAAACCCTTTACTTTCGTGGCGGGAATAATTCCCCTCCATTTTTTTGAAGAGTGCTTTTTGAGCACTTATTATTTAGGTGCTGACAGTATAGCACGAAATAAGTTCTCAGCCGGACATGGTGGTGCTCACCTATAATCCCAGCAATCTGGGAGGCTGAGGCAGGATGATTGCAAGTTCAAGCTCAGCTGGGCACAAAACAACTAGCGAGACCTTGTTGCAAAATGAAAAGAAAGGGCCACAGCTCAGGGTGAAGGTCCTGGGTTCAATTTCCAGTACCACCAAAACAAACAACTCTGCATAACAAAAAAGCCAAAATTCTCCTGGATTTATATTGAATGAGATTCACAGTCAACGAGAAAACAAGTCAGTAAATCAGATAATTTCAGATAATGATGTACTGTGAAGAAAATAAAACAGGACCGTGTAAAAGAAAATGACATGTAAGCAGTTTCAAAATATTAAAGTGCTCAGGGGAGAAAGACTAGAGAAAAGAAGACAAGAGCTGAACTTCAGGACATTTCAACAGAGCACAGTGGAGGAGAAGCAGCACAGGAGTAACAGGAAAAGATGAGAAGGAACTTTCAACTGTGTTGCAGGATTAAAAGAGATTACGTATATGAAAGCGTGATCGCAATCTTTCACATTTCCTGAAAAAGCTTTTTGTCTGGTGGAGTGGAAGGAATTACAGATGCAAAGGAGTAAGAACATAAAGTAGGTAGCAGTGGCTTTTATAAAAATAATATGATAAAGAGTTACGAGTTCCAAGTAAGTTCACAGTATAGATCAAGATAAATATTCTCACTGCAGACACAGCTTATCCAGTGCCTCTTTGCAAATCTATCTTCTCTATTAGATAAGAAACCCCTTCCACATAGAATCTTTTTAAAAAACCTTCTCTCTCAGAGTGCCCAGCACACTGGAGATCCTCAGTAAACTCTGGATAAATGAGAGAGACCAGGAAATATCAAAGCAGGGGCACTGGAGGGGTAAATGAGGGTGGTTATGGCCAGTGTTGGTTCCGCATCAGTGCTGTACGGGCAGGAATGGCTTGGCCTTCCAGTTACAGCTGCACCGCTAACGTGATACCGGCGCGAAAAGACACCAAAAGACCAAATACTTGCTGCTCGAGTTCACAGCAAAGCTTATTTTAGCAATGAAGACAAAGGATTTTTTCTAGCCTATTTCCATCTGCTTTTGTCTGAGTAGGCTATAAAAATAAGAATAAACGAATGCAATAAGAAGGATGACCCTAATAGGTAGTATAACGGCAAATGAAAGGAGCCAGATCCAAGTGTGTACGGTCTGATTCTATTTATGTCAGCGAGAAGAGCAGTGAGAACAAACCTGTGAGGGAAGACGGAACAGTGGTCACCTCGGAGAACGCAGACTAAGAGGGGAAGGAGAGGGGCCGCTCTGGATTCCGGAAATGCACAGTATCTTTACCGGGGCTACAGTTACAGAGATTTTACCCAGCTGGACATTGAAAATGTGTTGCCTTTATAGTATATACATCAGAATTCTAAGATACTTTGAAATAAAAAGAAACAAAGTAAGCAGAAGACTCAAGACAGGATGAACGATTAACGTGGATATTACAATAATGTTACTGTACTTACTTCATCTCCTGCATCAATTAATCCTTGAATGGCATTAAAAAGAGATCCATACGCTCCTACTGTCACAAGGATTTCTTTATTTGGGTCAATTTGGTTTGGATAAAGTTTTTCATAAAGGCAGGACAGAGCTTTCACAAGGGATGGATGACCCTGTTGGATTAAAAAATAAGAAATAAACCCCTTCAATTTGATCATGGAACTGGTTTCTTTGAGGTGATATGGATCTAAAATGTAATGATTTTAAAATTTGTATTTGATATTTGCAATTATTCAAAGAAAAACACATTTTTTTTTTTAAGCTAAGTCCTCTTTATATTACCCAGGCTGCCTCACCCTCTGGATTACAGGTGTGTGATACCACACCCAGCAGATTTGTATTTTAAATGGCGATCAATTAAAAATTGCTTTTCCAGCCAGGGATTTAGCTCAGCGGTTCTGCTGCCTTGCAAGTGCAAGGACCTGAGTTTGATTCCCTGGTAAAAAAAAAAAAAAAAAAAGCTTCTCCTAACTCCCTATATGAAGTTATGAGACTTGCTAATGATGAAATCTTATTTCAAAATGAAGTGTTTAGGAATATTATAAAATATTTTATTTGAATAGAAATGAACTTTTAGTCTATCTCTAACAGTAAATTTGTTCCTCAGTTAAAATAAGAAAAAAAAAAATGCACTAACTATAATTTCCTGATCTGATCTTCCCAATTGCTGTACAGGTTATGCCAATCAACAGACAAGAAAGGGGGAAACAAATTCGCCGAAGATGCACTAGTGTTGATGTGATAGCAAGGATGGGACAGGAGGAAGCGGAACATTATTCATGCTGACAGTCAGGACAGTAGTTACAGAGGAAAGCTACGTTCAAGAGAGAAAGGGTTATACAATTGTGTAAATCAGAGGCAAGTAGGGATTCTCTTATTCCAAGTATTCTCTTTGGGCTGGGATGTAACTCAGTGGCAGAGTGAGTGCTTGCCCAGCATGTGCAAGGCTGTGCTTCAATCTTCACCACAATAAATAAATAAAGCTTCCTCCTTTTCTGGGAGGTGGTGCCGGGGATCGAACTCATGCCCTTGAGCTTGCGAAGTAGGCTCAGGGCCAGTGAGCTAAATCCCCTGCCCAAGCTTGCTCCTTTAATCGACACGCAATGCTTGGATATACTTGTGGGGTGGAATGTGATATCTCAATCCCTAGATACAATGTGTACTGAAAAAATCAGGGTGACGCTCACTTCCATCTCATTATCACTTCTTTCGAGGTTTCAAATTCCTTCTTCCAGTTCTTCGTAAAACATACAGTAGTTTATTTGTGAACTGTACTTACCATGCTGTGCTGCACGACACCAAAATGCATTCCTCCTATCTGCACTTTGGAATGTGCCTCCCTTCACCCTCCCCTTCCTAGCCCTTCAGTAATTACTATTATGCTCTCTTCTACTTTGAGGTCAACTTTTTTTGCTTCCACATGGGGCAGAAAGAATACTGTTTGTCTTTCGATGTCTGTCTCATTTTACCTAACATAATGTTCATCAGTTCTGTCCAATTTGTTGACAATGTCAAGATTTCAGCTGAGCGTGGTGGTACATGCCTTTAATTCTAACTATCGGGGAGGCTGAGGAAGGAAGACCTCAAGTTCGAGGCCAGGCAGAGCAACTTAGCGAGGTCTTGCTTTAAAATAAAAATAAAAAGTACTGGGGATGTAGCCCAGCACTGTTTGGATTTAATATCCAATACTGTAAAATAACAACAAACCGAACCAAACCAAGTCAAACAAAACAAAAACAAAAACAAAAAAAGCCAAACAAAAAACCCAAAAGGAAAACAAGACAAACAAAAACAAAACCTACAAAATTGTATCCTTTATGGCTGAATAATATTCTACTTGGGAAATATATCACATTTTCCTTACCTATTCATCTGGTGATGGACATCTTTCCTGTATCTTTTTTGGTACTAGGGATCAAACTCGGGACCTTGTGCTTGCAAGGCAGGTGGTGGAATCACTGAGCTCAATCCCTGGCCCTGGACATCTTGACTACTGTGAAGAGGGTTGCAATAAACATAGGTGTACATGTATCTTGTTGATACACTGATTTAATTCCCTTTAGATATATATCCAGAAGTGAGCTAGTTGGATCATATGGTAGGTCTATTTTTTAATTATTATAGTATATGTGCTGCCTAATCAAACACTATTTTTTTATTATTTTATTTTATTTCTTGCTATGTAGTTCAGGCTGGCCTTGAACTCACTATGTAGCCAGAGGTAGCCTTGAATTCATGCAGTCCTTCTGTGTCAGTCTCCTGAGTGCTAGGATTCCAGGTGTACGTTATACTTGGTTTATTTTTATTTCATTTCTTTTTTTTTTTGGTACCGGGGATTGAACTTGGGTCCTTGAGCTTGCAAGGCAGGGCACTGAACTGCTGAGCTAAATCCCCGGCCCTTTATTTCATTTCTTGAGGCACCTCCTGTTTTCATAAGTGCTGCACTAATTTAAGTTACCATTAACAAACAGCATGTAAGAGTTCTTCTTTTCTCATCCTTGCCAGCATCTGTCATTTCTGATTTTCTGATAATAGCCATTATTACTGCAGTGAGGTGATTTCTCATCATGGTTTTCTTTGGCATTTTTCTGACAACCCTGAGCATTTTTCCATATATGTACATGTACTTATTGGCCATTTCTTTTTCTTAGAAATATCTATTCAGCCAGGCGTGGTGGCACAGGACTGTAATTCCAGCACTTGGGAGGCCGAGAGGCAGGAGGATTGCTGTAAGTTCAAGGCCAGCCCAGACTGAAAGGGAACAGCGATGCTCAACAACTAGGCCACGCGCACACGCGCACACACACCGAGAGGTCCAACTGGAGACTTTATTCAAGGGAGCAGAGCCGGGAGAGTGGAACAGAGAGGGAGCAGAGAGAAAGAGCAGAGAGAGAGAAATGAGGAATGCTGGCCTATTATTTATGGGGCTTGGAGCCGAAGACCTTGTTAGGGTGGGGTAGGCTGCTCTTGACCTACCACAAGCCATGTTGCCTTTTAAAGTTTGCACCTTGCAGAAGCTCTAAGTTTCAGTTCTATATACTGACATGGTCTTGGGGAAAAGGAAACTTAAGACAAGGGTTTAGGGGTAGAAGAACCCAGAAATCCAGCCCCAAATGGCGGTGTTACAAAATACTTTAACATGATCAATTCCCTAACACAGACTACACAGTGAGACCTTTTCTCAAAAAAGAAAAGAAATTAAATGTTTATTAAGTGTATTTTTAAATTGGATTGTATTCTTTGTTGGGTTACTTTCAGTAATGTTTTGTGGTTTCAGTGTACTGAACTTGAACATATATATTTCAAAAATTTAGTCCTAAATGTTTAGACGTGCTTATAAATGGTATTTAAAAAATTTATTTTGCAACTATTCATTTTCAGTATATGGAAATACAATTTTTTTTTGTACTGGGGATCGAACTCGGGACCTTGTGCTTGTGAGGCTGGTGCAGTACCACTGAGCTAAACCCCAGCCAGTGTATTTGTTTTTTGTATATTGGTCTTGTGTCCTGAACAATTCATTCAGTAGTTATACTAATTTTATAGAATCACTTAGGATATTTTATGTACTGTGCATGATGTTTTCAGCATATGGGTTTTGGTTTTCTTCTTTCTAATCAAATATCTTTCTTTCTTTAGGACATCTAGACAATTTAGTTTGTTTGTTTATTTATGGTATCAGGATCGACCTTGGGACCTTGTGCTTGTGAAGCACGTGACTATACCACTGCGCTAAATCCCTGGCCAATTTTGAGTATCAATGGTGAGCGTGGACACCCTTCTTTTTCCCATTATGTCATCTGTAGATATTATATGTAGGTTTCTCATAGGTTTCCTTCAACTGGTTGGCAAAGTTCCGTTCTACAGTGTTCCTGAGTAGTTGAAGCATTTTATTACAAAGGAGAGACGAGGAAGAGGGGTGGGAGGAAGGAAAAGAGATTGAACATGGAATTCAGAAGTGAAAATTTTTTTTTTTGGTACCGGGGATCGAATTTGGGTGCTTGCGCTTTCGAGGCAGGCCGCAGAACCACTGAGCTAAATCACCAGCAGAATTCAGATGTATTACGTACATGGACCAACTTCTCACACGGAATGTAATCACTGTGTACTGCAAACATGTACTACTACTAATACTAATAATACTACTACTAATAAAAAGGAGGTGTGGTGGTGGCTCATGCCTGCAATCCCAGCACTCAGGAGGGTGAGGCAGGAGGACCATCTCGAGTTTGAGGCCAGCAGGTAGTGAGTTCAAGACCAGCCTGCACTACGCAGCAAGACCCTGCCTTAAAAAGAGAGAAAAAAAAAAAGGAGAGATGAATTTTGTCAAGTGTATTTTCTGTATATGCTAAGGTGATCATATAGTTTTTCTTTTTCATTATATTAATATGCTGAATTGCAATAACTGATTTTTGGATATTAAATCTGCATCCTGTGGTAAACCATACTTGGTCAGTACGTGTTTGTTACTTTTTATATCATACTCACAAATATAAATACATATATACATGCACATACATTTCTGAATTTGACTCGCTAAAGTCTTAGAATTTTCATTTTTATATTTATGAGGGATATTAGACTGGATTATATTTTTCTTTATCTTGTTTTGTATCAGAGTAATGCTGGCCTCAAAAATGCATTGGCAAGTTTTTCATCCTGCTGTATTTTCTGAATGATTTTGTGTAGAACTGGTATTATTTATTCTTTTTTTTTCTTTATTTTAGTACTAAGGATCAAACTCAAGAACTTGCACTTGCGAGGCAGGTGCAGCACCACTGAGCTAAATCCCCAGCTCGGTACTATTTATTCTTTAAATGCATAGTAGAAAATTATTCATGATATTGTTTTACTGTCTGTATGATTTGAAAAGGATTTCTTTTTCCATTTCTCATGTTGTACTTTTTCCTACTTTTTATTGATAAATCTAGCTAAAGTTTTCTTTCTTTCTTTTTTTTTGGGGGGGTTACTGGGGATTGAACTCTGGTCCTTGCACTTGCAAGGCAGGCAGCGGAACCACTGAGCGGAACCACTGAGCTAAATCCCCAGCCCTAAAGTTTTACTTATTGATTTTGTTCATTTCTGGATTTTTATCACGGACTTGAACATGGCCAGGAGGAAAGTAGGTGGAGCAGGTCTGAGATGGGGATGTGGATATGAACTTTTGTTTTTGGTGGTGCTGGGGACCGAAACCAGGACCTCACACATTCTAACATTCTAGGCATTTGTGCTACCAATTTTCTACCCCCCCCAGCCCTGAGATGGGGGTATAGAGGGTAGATCAAGGAGCAAGATTCCACAGAAAGCAGGAATTCCCACCCTGTTAAGCCCTGGGATATGGTTGGTCTCACTGCTTTTTCCGGTTCCCTCATTCCCAATGGCGACACCCTCAGTGGATTTTTGCACTTAGTAAAGACAAAAGTAGGACTCCCTCCTTCCTTCTTTCCATTTCCCAAGCTATTACAAAAGGAAAGACAAACACTGAGCCATATGACAACTGTATGGCTTTTAGGCATAACAGGTACGATGCGGCAGTTGAAAAGAATATTTCCATCTAAGAAATGGGCATTTCATCATAGAAGGATGGAGCGGGCTGAGGTGGGAGAGAGAAGAAAAAAACAACTTGTTGGAAAGTACGTGGAGAGGCCAGTGCTGAGGCTGCCTGAGCATTAATGAGAGAAAGACATCCTTCAAGAGAATATTTTTCCTTCCTTGTTGCCTTAAGATCACATTTTGAACAAGAAAGGCTGAAAACAGAACTGCAGAGGGGTTGAAGCTTAGGGAAGGCTTGTCCTAGGGACAGAGCAGGAGGGACAGTTCTGTGGTCATCAGGCTGGGACAGCTGATTCCATGTAAATAACAACACATGCACATCACACAATATAAACTCTAAGCTCATGCCTCATATGTCCCCAATATACTTACAAAGCCCCGTGTGTACTGATTCAGGTTATCAACGAATGCAACCTTTGATAATTCTTCTTTTACATATGTTGGAGGTGATATATCTGGAAGGCCTTGGCCAAGATTCACCACAGAGGGATCTGCAGCCAACTTGGTAAATTCAATCCTAAAATTAGGAAAAACAAAAACAAAAACAAAAAACCCAAAAAGCTGGTATTGATAAGTACTTAGGTTTACAAAGTTTGGTTTTTGTGTCGCATGGTCTTACCACAAAATTGAAAAAACAGAAACTTAGTTTGGTTTTACAGATTAAAAGAGTTCCCAATAAAAAGTTAGACTATGCACACCTGTAATTCCAGTACTCTGGGAGGCGGAGGCTGGAGGGCTGTGAATTCAAGCCTAGGCATTTCCCTGTCTCAAAATAAAGTATAATAAAGGAATGAATACGGCTTAGTGAAAAGGCAATGGGTTCAATCCCCACTGCTGAAGAAAAAGAATTACCATCCATTAAATAAATTTACCTAACAGAACGATGGCTGAATGAATGAACCTGAGTAAGGCTCCTTTACACACCTCAATCTCATGATGCCCACATTTCAACCACCTACCCCCACTTAACCATTTCCTATCTGCTGTGATGTTCTCTTGGCAACTGTTAGCAAAACTAATGAGAAATGTTCATGGGTTAGAGGTAAGTTCCAAGCCAAATTTGTTTTTTCTCTGCTATGTGTCCAGGTGCAGCACAGAGCCTTGCATACTTGGGAAACGAATAAACCAGGGTCTGGGCGGCTCTCTTCCTTCCATCAGCATTTAATGGAGGGATTAGATAAAGGGCTTTATTTTTGGACTATAGATGAGGCTACAAATTCCCAAATAAGGAAACAAGAATATATAGAAATATTTCACCACATTATTAAAATACTCACCATACATTGCTGTCAAGTCCTTCAATGCGTTTTGCATTTTTCAATTTTGAAGACATTTTCTGCAAATATAAATATTAAAAGAGTTTTAGAAATTCTTTAATCACAATTTGAAAGGTCAGGAAATCACGAGTCATTCTTCCCTTTCCCTAGCATCACCATAATGACAAGCATACCACAGAAGGGAGCCCTGGAGTGCAATACAAAAATCTGAGGAAGAGTCCACCTCCCAGCAGCTTGAAATGTGCTAAAGAGAACAGGAAAAATACTTTAAAAAGTCATTTTAAAAAATATCTTGAAGGGGGCTGGGGATTTAGCTCAGTGGTGCTGCTACCTGCTTCACAAGTGCAATATCCCGTTTGATCCCTGCACCACCAAAAACAAACTAACAAACAAATAACGCAAAACTCTGGACCAGGGATTTAGCTCAGTGGTTCTGCTCCCTTCCTCTCAAGCACAAGGTCCTGAGTTCGATCTCTAGTACCAAAAAAGGAAAAAAAAAAAAAATCTTGAGCTGTGCACTGAAGAAAGTAAGATATACTGAGTTTCACATGAAGGATCCCTTGCATGGCATACAGGAATCACTCAACAAATGGTTTTTATTTTTACTTTAGTTTTTAAAAAGTTTTTGGTTTTTTGAGACAGGCTCTTGCTAGTAAGGTCAGGCTGGTCTTGAACTCACTATATAGGGTGGCCTTGAGCTTTGGGGCGATCCTTCTGTCTCAGCCTCCTAAGTGCTGGAATTACAGGCATGTGACACCATACATGGCAACAAATGGTTTTAAAAATGACTCACTAGGCTGGGGATTTAGCCCAGTGGTGCAGCCACCTGCCTTGCAAGTGCAAGGTCCCCAGTTTGATCTCCGGTACCAAAAAAACAAAAACAAAAACAAAAAATGACTCACTAAGGGGTTCCAAGTAATAGTAGCTAATACGATAGAATAGTGCTTATATGCCAAGCACCGTTCTTTGTGTTTCACATAACTTACTCAGTTAATCTACATTTCAGCCCTATACTGTAGCTCTGTTATGAGCCACAGATATATGAACAAAGTGAGGCACAGGGAAGATGAAGACCACCCAATTTTTCACATCTGCCCAAGTTCTTAAAAGTGGTAACTTTCAAACCCAAACAGGTTTATCCAGGATTTGAATCCAATGACTAACTATAGAACCCATACATGAAATTACTGTTATCTGTGGTCTTACAAAACAAGACTTTCTAAAAATCTGACCGGAAGACTGCCTCTTAAAAGATTAGGACAGACTGGGGATTTAGCTCAGTGGTGTCGCCACCTGCCTCGCAAGCGCAAGGTCCCAAGTTCGATCCCAGGTACCAAAATAGACAAGCAAATAAATAAAAGTAGATTAGGAGCCGGGGGACTTAGCTTAGTGGTGCTGTGTCTGCCTTGCAAGTGCATGGTTCTGAGTTTGATCCCTGGTACCAAAAAGAAAGTTCGATTAGGAATTTAGGTCAGGTCTACTCACACCAAGCAAGCAAGCTAAGGCGGTGGTAGAAAAACAGAAGTTATAATTATCATACAGCATACAACTTTTAGTTCTTCAGATTCTAAATTAAGAATGAACTATCTCTTAGAAGTACTGAATTAATTTTGAGTTCATTACTAATAAGCTAGTGGAAATAAGAAAATGATGGACAGCATTTTTACAAAGAATTTTATAGTAGAATATTAAAGCAATTTTAATTCAATCTGGGAGGAAGATAATGATACTAGTCATTAAATAGACTATTGTTATCATTCTATTCCCAATAATAGAACCAAAAAATGCCAAAGTTTCCTATTTTTAATCTTCGAAACTCCAGTGAAGCAAATCTCATACATATTCTCCAGGGGCCAAGGTGCCTCTAGAACAGAATCACGATTAACAGCACCTGAACAGGATGCTACTCCAGAGACGAACAATTAAAAACTAAGAGTTCCAACAAGACAGAGAGAAAAAGATATTCTAACAAATGCCATTTACCATCTCCGAAACAATGGTGGAGAGCTTCATGATTCATTTATCAAAATGCTGGTGTGGTGTCACGGAAGATAATCAGACACCAAGTACAGCTCCACTTAACGTTCAGATGGATAAGGTCAAAATGCGGTTTCGGATTGACTTTCTTTAAAACTTGTCTCCAGCCTGGCAACTTCTGCTTCTGCTCTCCCTGCCTTCTTCTTCATCATCCCAATGCCTTGCCTCAACCACTCTACTTTTTCAAACAGTCTTTGTAGCCCGCTCACTTCTCTGACTATCACTATGTGATTTATCCTCTGCCCAAACAGTCCATCTCTGCACATTTCTCTACCTCCTTTTCATCATGGCTTCTGTCAGGGGGGTCTTCACACATTTTTCCTAATTATCAAGTAAATAGGAACAAGACTTTGTCAAATAGGTTTGAGCTTCAAATGGTCATAAAACATTGTAAAAGCTAATATTTGTTTTTCCTGCTAAGCACCCATTTTCTCTTCCTTGGGAGTAATAATGCCTCTGTTGAGATTTGTTTGTTTTTGTTTTTTGAGATAGGGTCTTTCTGAATAGTCCAAACTGGTCTTGAACTTTGGTGATCTTCCTGCCTCAGCTTCCCAAGTGCTGGGATTACAGGCACGTGTCACTGTGCCTAGCTGAGAATGTGTATTTTCTTTCTTTCATTTTTTTTTTTTTTTTTTTT